TCTACCCCAGGAGGACATGGTGGGAGGGCAGTCAACTATCAGGGAGAGATCTACCCCAGGAGGACATGGTGGGAGGGCAGTCAACTATCAGGGAGAGTTCTACCCCAGGAGGACATGGTGGGAGGGCAGTCAACTATCAGGGAGAGAACTACCCAAGGAGGACATGGTGGGAGGGCTACCAACTATCAGGGAGAGATCTACCCCAGGAGGACATGGTGGGAGGGCAGTCAACTATCAGGGAGAGATCTACCCCAGGAGGACATGGTGGGAGGGCAGTCAACTATCAGGGAGAGATCTACCCCAGGAGGACATGGTGGGAGGGCAGTCAACTATCAGGGAGAGATCTACCTCAGGAGGACATGGTGGGAGGGCAGTCAACTATCAGGGAGAGATCTACCCCAGGAGGACATGGTGGGAGGGCAGTCAACTATCAGGGAGAGATCTACCTCAGGAGGACATGGTGGGAGGGCAGTCAACTATCAGGGAGAGATCTACCCCAGGAGGACATGGTGGGAGGGCAGTCAACTATCAGGGAGAGATCTACCTCAGGAGGACATGGTGGGAGGGCTACCAACTATCAGGGAGAGATCTACCCCAGGAGGACATGGTGGGAGGGCAGTCAACTATCAGGGAGAGAACTACCCAAGGAGGACATGGTGGGAGGGCTACCAACTATCAGGGAGAGATCTACCCCAGGAGGACATGGTGGGAGGGCAGTCAACTATCAGGGAGAGATCTACCCCAGGAGGACATGGTGGGAGGGCAGTCAACTATCAGGGAGAGATCTACCCCAGGAGGACATGGTGGGAGGGCAGTCAACTATCAGGGAGAGATCTACCCCAGGAGGACATGGTGGGAGGGCAGTCAACTATCAGGGAGAGTTCTACCCCAGGAGGACATGGTGGGAGGGCAGTCAACTATCAGGGAGAGATCTACCCCAGGAGGACATGGTGGGAGGGCAGTCAACTATCAGGGAGAGATCTACCCCAGGAGGACATGGTGGGAGGGCAGTCAACTATCAGGGAGAGATCTACCCCAGGAGGACATGGTGGGAGGGCTACCATTTATCAGGGAGAGTTCTACCCCAGGAACACATGGGGGGAGGGCTACCAACTATCAGGGAGAGATCTACTCCAGGAGGACATGGTGGGAGGGCTACCAACTATCGGGGAGAGTTCTACCTCAGGAGGACATGGTGGGAGGGCTACCAACTATCAGGGAGAGTTCTACCCAAGGAGGACATGGTGGGAGGGCAACCAACTATCCGGGAGAGTTCTACCCCAGGAGGACATGGTGGGAGGGCTACCAACTATCAGGGAGAGTTCTACCTCAGGAGGACATGGTGGGAGGGCTACCAACTATCAGGGAGAGTTCTACCCAAGGTGGACATGGTTGGAGGGCAGCCAACTATCAGGGAGAGATCTACCCCAGGTGGACATGGTGGGAGGGCAGTCAACTATCAGGGAGAGATCTACCCCAGGAGGATATGGTGGGAGGGCAGTCAACTATCAGGGAGAGAATTACCCCAGGAGGACATGGTGGGAGGGCAGTCAACTATCAGAGAGAGATCTACCCCCGTTGGACATGGTTGGAGGGCAGCCAACTATCAGGGACAGATCTACCCCAGGAGGACATGGTGGGGGGGGCAGTCAACTATCAGAGAGAGATCTACCCCCGTTGGACATGGTTGGAGGGCAGCCAACTATCAGGGAGAGATCTACCCCAGGAGGACATGGTGGGAGGGCAGTCAACTATCAGCGACAGATCTACCCCAGGAGGACATGGTGGGAGGGCTACCAACTATCAGGGAGAGATCTACCCCAGGAGGATATGGTGGGAGGGCTACCAACTATCAGGGAGAGATCTACCCCAGGAGGACATGGTGGGAGGGCAGTCAACTATCAGGGAGAGATCTACCCCCGGAGGACATGGTGGGAGGGCTACCAACTATCGGGGAGAGATCTACCCCAGGAGGACATGGTGGGAGGGCACTCAACTATCAGGGAGAGTTCTACCTCAGGAGGACATGGTGGGAGGGCTACCAACCATCAGGGAGAGTTCTACCCCAGGAGGGCATGGTGGGAGGGCTACCAACTATCAGGGAGAGTTCTACCTCAGGAGGACATGGTGGGAGGGCAGTCAACTATCAGGGAGAGTTCTACCCCAAGAGGACATGGTGGGAGGGCTACCAACTATCAGGGAGAGTTCTACTCCAGGAGGACATGGTGGGAGGGCAGTCAACTATCAGGGAGAGTTCTACCTCAGGAGGACATGGTGGGAGGGCTACCAACTATCAGGGAGAGATCTACCCCAGGAGGACATGGTGGGAGGGCAGTCAACTATCAGGGAGAGTTCTACCTCAGGAGGACATGGTGGGAGGGCTACCAACTATCAGGGAGAGTTCTACCTCAGGAGGACATGGTGGGAGGGCAGTCAACTATCAGGGAGAGTTCTACCCCAAGAGGACATGGTGGGAGGGCTACCAACTATCAGGGAGAGTTCTACTCCAGGAGGACATGGTGGGAGGGCAGTCAACTATCAGGGAGAGTTCTACCTCAGGAGGACATGGTGGGAGGGCTACCAACTATCAGGGAGAGATCTACCCCAGGAGGACATGGTGGGAGGGCTACCAACTATCAGGGAGAGTTCTACCCCAGGAGGAAATGGTGGGAGGGCAGTCAACTATCAGGGAGAGATCTACCCCAGGAGGACATGGTGGGAGGGCAGTCAACTATCAGGGAGAGATCTACCCCAGGAGGACATGGTGGGAGGGCTACCATTTATCAGGGAGAGTTCTACCCCAGGAACACATGGGGGGAGGGCTACCAACTATCAGGGAGAGTTCTACCCCAGGAGGACATGGTGGGAGGGCAGTCAACTATCAGGGAGAGATCTACTCCAGGAGGACATGGTGGGAGGGCTACCAACTATCGGGGAGAGTTCTACCTCAGGAGGACATGGTGGGAGGGCTACCAACTATCAGGGAGAGTTCTACCCCAGGAGGACATGGTGGGAGGGCAACAAACTATCAGGGAGAGTTCTACCCCAGGAGGACATGGTGGGAGGGCTACCAACTATCAGGGAGAGTTCTACCTCAGGAGGACATGGTCGGAGGGCTACCAACTATCAGGGAGAGATCTACCCCAGGAGGACATGGTGGGAGGGCTACCAACTATCAGGGAGAGTTCTACCTCAGGAGGACATGGTGGGAGGGCTACCAACTATCAGGGAGAGTTCTACCCAAGGTGGACATGGTGGGAGGGCTACCAACTATCAGGGAGAGTTCTACCCCAAGAAGACATGGTGGGAGGGCAGTCAACTATCAGGGAGAGATCTACCCCCGGTGGACATGGTTGGAGGGCTACCAACTATCAGGGAGAGATCTACCCCAAGAAGACATGGTGGGAGGGCAGTCAACTATCAGGGAGAGTTCTACCCCCGGTGGACATGGTTGGAGGGCTACCAACTATCAGGGAGAGTTCTACCCCCGGAGGACATGGTGGGAGGGCACTCAACTATCAGGGAGAGTTCTACCTCAGGAGGACATGGTGGGAGGGCAGTCAACTATCAGGGAGAGTTCTACCCCAAGAGGACATGGTGGGAGGGCACTCAACTATCAGGGAGAGTTCTACCCAAGGAGGACATGGTGGGAGGGCTACCAACTATCAAGGAGAGATCTACCCCAGGAGGACATGGTGGGAGGGCTACCAACTATCAGGGAGAGATCTACCTCAGGAGGACATGGTTGGAGGGCAGTCAACTATCAGGGAGAGTTGTACCCCAGGAGGACATGGTTGGAGGGCAGTCAACTATTTGTGAGAGTTCTACCCCCGGTGGACATGGTTGGAGGGCTACCAACTATCAGGGAGAGTTCTACCCCCGGAGGACATGGTGGGAGGGCAGTCAACTATCAGGGAGAGATCTACCCCAGGAGGACATGGTGGGAGGGCAGTCAACTATCAGGGAGAGATCTACCCCAGGAGGACATGGTGGGAGGGCAGTCAACTATCAGGGAGAGATCTACCCCAGGAGGACATGGTGGGAGGGCAGTCAACTATCAGGGAGAGATTTACCCCAGGAGGACATGGTGGGAGGGCTACCAACTATCAGGAAGATTATATACAGATATAGAGTAAGACTTGCTGTTTGAAACATTATGAATGTGTAGCAGGACGTCGAGTCACAAGCAGATGTCATCCATACCTTTTCAGCATGCTGACAGGGTTAACCTTTTAGGTCATATGGACAAGGCATTCGACTTTGGATCAGAAGGTCTGTTGTTCGATCCCATCACTGGACAGCAATTTTAGGCACCAACCTTTGAGCTGAGCACGTTCATATCAAATCTGAGCACAATAACTTTCAGTAGCCAACATGCAAGCCCACCCTTCTGTTGCCAGGGAGAACAGGGTGTTCGGCTCCTAGTTCAGATACCTTGTCCACATGACCAAATGGATTAACCCTAGGGCTGGGACGGGTAACTCGGGTACTCGTGTCGGGTGGTTCCTGAGTCGGACCCGGATACCCACAGGACTACCCGGACCCGTGGTTAGTCATGTGATATATTGTTTAACGGCCAAAAGATATCTGGAACTTCCACAGTTAAACTCAAAGTGATTAATGTTCGCATTTCTTTCTGACTATGCACACATTCCTTCTGACTTAATATGTTTGAATAGACATAACACTCAAATCAACTTCAGTGTATACATGACCAGATGGTTTTATACAAGTATCTAAATAGCTTTTGCCACGGCTACGGTCAAACTATTCCCAATCGGACATTTGTACCTATTTCTTGAGACCAGCAGCGGGTACTCAGGGAGGGTCGGGTAATAGTGGAGCAGGTACCTGGGTAGTAAATTTGGTCTTGTCCCAGCCCTAATTAACCCCATCATCAAGCTGAAAAGGTTAGGGTGTCATCTGTGGGATGACACACAACAACTTTTGTGTACTCTTGCACAGTGATTAAGATGATGGCCAGCTAAATGTTAACTTACCAATCCTGCTATAGGTGTGGCTTGTTTGTTGATCCTCTTGACCGAGCCAGGCCGCAAACAGTTAAGTAATCTGAACAAAAATTGTGGCTTTCTCAATGAAAATAATAACAATAGCACCATGTAGCAAAATGTCCTATGAAGATAATGTCAAAATATTTTCATTAATTTAAACATTTTTAAATCCCAACATGACAACAGTTTTTTTTGTTCATTTCAAAGGGTAAAACTGCAGGTTAATTGAAAAAAAGCCAATATTTTATCAAACAGCCACCACTGACATACACTATATAGCACATGTTGTAAGCCACCATTGACGTCCACTATATAGCACGTGTTGTAAGCCACCATTGACGTCCACTATATAGCACATGTTGTAAGCCACCATTGACATACACTATACATCATGTGTTGTCAGTCACCATTGACATACACTATATAGCATGTGTTGTCAGTCTCTATTGATGTACACTATATAGCACATGTTGTCGGTCACCATTGATGTACACGATATAGCACATGTTGTCGGTCACCATTGATGTACACGATATAGCTTGTGTTGTCAGTCACCATTGACGTACACTATATAGCATGTATTGTCAGTCACCATTGACGTCCACTATATAGCATGTGTTGTCAGTCACCATTGACATACACTATATAGCATGTGTTGTCAGTCTCTATTGACGTACACTATATAGCATGTATTGTCAGTCACCATTGACAAACACTATATAGCACATGTTGTCAGTCTCCATTGACTTAAACTATATAGTATGTGTTGTCAGTCACCACTGACGTACACTATATAGTATGTGTTGTCAATCACCATTGACATACACTATATAGTATGTGTTGTCAGTCACCATTGACATACACTATATAGTATGTGTTGTCAGTCACCATTGATGTACACTATATAGTATGTGTTGTCAGTCACCATTGACATACACTATATAGTATGTGTTGTCAGTCACCATTGACATACACTATATAGCATGTATTGTCAGTCACCATTGACATACACTATATAGCACATGTTGTCAGTCACCATTGACGTACACAATATAGCACATGTTGTCAGTCTCCATTGACGTACACAATATAGCACATGTTGTCAGTCTCCATTGACATAAACTATATAGTATGTGTTGTCAGTCACCATTGACGTACACTATATAGGACATGTTGTCAGTCTCCATTGACGTACACTATATATCATGTGTTGTCAGTCACCATTGACATACACTATATAGCATGTGTTGTAAGTCATCATTGACGTTCACAATATAGCACATGTTGTCAGTCTCCATTGACTCACACTATATAGTATGTGTTGTCAGTCACCATTGACATACACTATATATCATGTGTTGTCAGTCACCATTGACATACACTATAAAGCATGTGTTGTCAGTCACCATTGACATACACTATATAGTATGTGTTGTCAGTCTCCATTGACATACACTATATAGCATATGTTGTCAGTCACCATTGACATACACTATATAGCACATGTTGTCAGTCTCCAATGACATACCCTATATAGCACATGTTGTCAGTCACCATTGACGTACACGATATAGCACATGTTGTCAGTCTCCATTGACATACACTATATAGTATGTGTTGTCAGTCACCATTGACGTACACTATATATCATGTGTTGTCAGTCACCATTGACGTACACTATATAGTATGTATGGTCAGTCACCATTGACATACACTATATAGCATGTGTTGTCAGTCACCATTGACATACACTATATAGCATGTGTTGTCAGTCACCATTGACGTACACTATATATCATGTGTTGTCAGTCACCATTGACGTACACTATATAGCACATGTTGTCAGTCACACACTGTAAGTCAGGTGTCACAAAACATAGATGATATACACACTGCAGGTCAGGTGTAACAAAACATAGTTGATATATACACTGCAGGTCAGGTGTAACAAAACATAGATGATATACACACTGTACTGTTGACACCATTCAAATCTTATTGTGGCATAAGGTCGGAATGACATCACACGAGAAACGACGTCAGTATGACACACATACTCGTATAATAATCCCTATGTATGTATAGGGACCTACTACTTTCTATAAATATGACAAATTTCATCACAGTTTGCAACAAAATGACTGAGTAATGGCCATAAATAGCATTTCCAATATGGCTGCTGTGGAAAAATCGTAATGTCAATATGGGTGACGATTTATTTTGCAAAACTTCAGGTGCCATCATTGATGGGAACAAGGAAGACTAACTGCAATATCCAGTGACTTGCTGTCATGTACAAAGGTTATCTCATGCATAATACACTTACTGCAAGATCTTCAAGCCTGGAGTCTTGCCACATTCATAATATACTTACTGCAAGATCTTCAAGCCTGGAGACTTGACACATTCATAATATACTTACTGCAAGATCTTCAAGCCTGGAGACTGGTCAAATTCAAAATACACTTACTGCAAGATCTTCAAGCCTGGAGACTTGCCACATTCATAATACACTTACTGCAAGATCTTCAAGCCTGGAGACTTGCCACATTCATAATACACTTACTGCAAGATCTTCAAGCCTGGAGACTTGCCACATTCATAATACACTTACTGCAAGATCTTCAAGCCTGGAGACTGGTCACATTCATAATACACTTACTTCACATTCATAATACACTTACTGCAAGATCTTCAAGCCTGGAGACTTGCCACATTCATAATATACTTACTGCAAGATCTTCAAGCCTGGAGACTTGCCACATTCATAACACACTTACTGCAAGATCTTCAAGCCTGGAGACTTGACACATTCATAATACACTTACTGTAAGATCTTCAAGCCTGGAGACTTGCCACATTCATAATACACTTACTGCAAGATCTTCAAGCCTGGAGATGGGTCATATTCATAATACACTTACTGCAAGATCTTCAAGCCTGGAGACTTGCCACATTCATAATACACTTACTGCAAGATCTTCAAGCCTGGAGACTTGTCACATTCATAATATACTTACTGCAAGATCTTCAAGCCTGCAGACTGGTCACATTCATAATTCACTTACTGCAAGATCTTCAAGCCTGGAGACTGGTCACATTCATAATAAACTTACTCGCAGAGTAGTATTCCATTCTCCAGGGATTTGCGGGGGTCATCAGGATACACAAATGTCTTCCTGGTAACAGCCTGAAACAAAAGCATCTTGATGAGTACAGGACGCTCCATGTGGGTGATGGAATTTGGCAACAGTCTATACCACTGTGATACTATGACTTTTTCAGCCAAATCAGACTGTGTTAAGCACCTGATATTTCTTTAGTGGTACCTTGTATTGGCAATTTGTGATTGAAAACTGACATCATCAGACAGCCAAATGATCATCCATAATTTATCAACAGATAATGAAAGTTCAGGATGAATTATGCATGCATGTACTGGTATCCTTTAGTGAATCAACAGTATTAATTCTTCAGTGTCATAATTGTTCACCTACTTGACTGCTATGAAGAAGAGACAACATACTGCTCTGTTGACAAGTGAACACTACTTCCATGTTGCGAGTGAGTGAGTGAGCCGCTTTTAGCAATATTCAAGTAATACCATGGCAGAAATGGGCTTCACACATTGTATCCATGTTGGGAATCAAACCCGGGCCCTCGGCGTGATGAGCAAATGATTTAACCACTTGGCTACCCTACCACCTCTGTCTTCACATGAGTGAGTTGGGTTAAACACCACTTTGAACAGTACGCAAGTTGTATCACAGCATGTTTGCTTGATGTGGGAGGAAATCCACAAGCATGGGTATGGTGCTGACAAACCTAGAAACAAATTGGGGTAAAGCAGGATTTGAATACACAAGCCGAGGTTTCTGGTGTGCCCAAGGGACGCAACTCTGCACAGTTAATTGCACAAGAAGTAGTTTGGGTTTATCTTGCTCATTGTCTTCGCGACAATTTTACTCGTGGATACTTGTGGAGCAAAGACAAATGCATAACTGCAAATACATCTCCCTGACCTCAAGATCTCTACAGCAAACCTCATGGTAATGAAACACCAATTCATAATATTTTGGTTTACTGAATAAACAATGAAACTTGTGTTTGTCCATTCCTCACCATGGTTATCTGAAGACAAGGTTATCTTGTGCAATTGTCTTGTGAAATAAGGCGGAAATAACTATAAGCTGTACACAGCTGCCGGCTTCCAGGTCATGCACAGAGAATTGGGAGGTCATAGCCCCAGGGTAAACCACCCGTTCACAAGTGTTTGATAATGGTCTACTGGACTAATGTTCTACTGGACTAATGGTCAAACTTGTCTGAGCTGACTTGTCTACTAAGGGACTTCAGTTCGGGAGCCCATGCTGTAGTTTTGTTTCAACGTTTGCTTGGCCCACTGGTTTCCATCTGGCCATAGGATTGGGATGAGCAAGGAGTGCATGACAGCAGTGGTCTTTACAGGCAGACAGGAACCCTGGCTGACCTCTGCTTTGTCCAGCTTCAGCTGATTGCAGTTTAGCAAATGTTAGTTTTTGATCCTCACATTAGAGTCAGGTAGAGCTGTATTGTATATTACCACCCATGGGCGGAAACAGCTTTTTTGCAAAAGGGGGGGTGCACAATTAAGATCTATTTATTGTCTTTGGTGGTAATTTATACAGAAATACAGATTTTTTTCGAAATAAAAAGGGGGGGTACGCACCCCTGCACCACCCCTCTGTATCCGCCCATGCCACAATCGGAAATAGTTCATTAAATATGATTACAGACCCGCCGACTCGAATTTTTGAAAAAATGTAAAAAGAATTGTGTAAAAAATTTAGTTATTTTATTTGTTATCATCACCTTTTAATAAAAAAACATATGTGATGTTATAACAATCTATTTGGGGTTAAATGAGCCATGCCTTTTGTGGGTATTTTCGCCATCAAGTCCTAAAATTATTTTTGAGTTACATGAGACTGCCAGTGGCATAATTCAGGCAACTGAATTCAAAAAAAGTATAAAACAAAACCTCTCTCAAAGATTACAAGAAACTGATGATAATGTAAAGTATTAAGAACTATTATTTATTGAACTTGTGCAATGTTAAGAGTAAGTTAATGAAATGCATAAGATAATAACTGCAATCATAAACTTTTGAGTTTCATAACAGGATTATATGTAGTAGAGTCAAATGAAGGCGACCATCTTGAATTCAAGATGGACGACATTGACTACACGATAAATAAATACAAATATTTTGTATCTGATCCAAGTAGGATTCCTAAGAAATGACAATACAGACTAGAATGAAGACCACAAACAATATTTTGACATGGTCTATGTAACCATGACAAATGCATTCCTGCTGATATTTGTGTGAAAAAAACAACAGACCCCACCCCCAGAACAATCCAAATAAAACATATTTCCCCAACCTTGATTTTCTTTGGGTTTTTTATAGTGACCAATAACACCCTTCTGGTGAGTTTAAACACAAATTTGGCCTGTTATCAGAAATGTCCAGGTCCATTGCAATTTCTACTGGACTAATGTCGTACATGCCAATAAATACCATGTACCCAACAATATCTGCTGTTTGTTAGTTTTATTCCCATCACTGGAAAAAGTTGTTCAAGAAACTATCATGTTGTTATGTGTACAAGTTGACATCTTGAACGGAGGGGGTAATATCGCAAACACTCATTGCACATGCAATGACAGCATAAGATTTTTGTCTGTTGTCTAACGCCGCACTCAGCAATATTCCAGCTACATGATGGCAGTCTGTAAATAATAGTCTGGACCAGACAATCCAGTGATTGATATCATGAGGATCGATCCACGCAATTGGGATACGATAACATGCATCAACCAAGTCAGTGAGCCTGACCACCCGATCCATAGCATGAGAGGGGCCGTCTCATAATTTTTATTGCAATCATACTCGCTCATGAGTTATTTTGCAATTCATTGTTCTCATTTGGAGCCAAACGGACTGTAATTTCCACTGTTTCTCCTTTCATGAACAAAATTCAATGTGAATCATATTCATGTGTGAAGACAAGTTTCTGCCATCCTGCACATCTGTTACAAATCAATATTTCAACCTGCCAACTCTTTGTACATTTTTCCCTTGATGGACCAGCCAAACATCCCTTTCAGGCTATTCCAAACACCCTTGTCTGGCTATTCTGAACACCCTTGTCAAGGCTATTCCAAAAACCTGTGTCCGGCTATTCCTAACACCCGTGTCTAGCTATTCCAAATACCCATGTCAGGCTATTCCCCACACCTATGTCAGGCTATTCCCCACACCTAGGTCAGGCTATTCCACACACCTAGGTCAGGCCATTCCCCACACTTATGTCAGGCTATTCCAAACACCTGTGTCTCAAGCTATTCCAAACACTTGTGTGTCAGGCTATTCCATACACCTGTGTCTCAGGCTATTCCACACACCCGTGTGTCAGGCTATTCCAAACACCCGTGTCTCAAGCTATTCCAAACACTCGTGTGTCAGGCTATTCCAAACACCCGTGTCAGGCTATTCCACACACCTGTGTGTCAGGCTATTCTAAACACCGGTGTCAGGCTATTCCAAACACCTGTGTGTCAGGCTATTCTAAACACCTGTGTCGGGGTATTCCAAACACCCGTGTCTCAGGCTATTCCAAACACCCATGTCATCCCGTGTCAGGCTATTCCAAACACCCGTTGCAGGCTATTCCAAACACCTGTGTCTCAGGCTATTCCAAACACCCATGTGATCCCGTGTCAGGCTATTCCAAACACCCGTGTCTCAGGCTATTCCAAACACCCATGTCATCCCATGTCAGGCTATTCCAAACACCTGTGTCTCAGGCTATTCCAAACACCCATGTCATCCCGTGTCAGGCTATTCCAAACACCCATGTCAGGCTATTCCAAACACCTGTGTGTCAGGCTATTCCAAACACCCATGTCATCCCGTGTCAGGCTATTCCAAACACCCGTGTCTCAGGCTATTCCAAACACCCATGTCATCCCGTGTCAGGCTATTCCAAACACCCGTGTCAGGCTAATCCAAACACCCATGTCATCCCGTGTCAGGCTTTTCCAAACACCCGTGTCTCAGGCTATTCCAAACACCCATGTCATCCCGTGTCAGGCTATTCCAAACACCCGTGTCAGGCTAATCCAAACACTAATGTCAGGCTATTCTTAACACCCATGTCAGGCTATTCCACACACCCGTGTCAGGCTTTTCCAAACACCTGTGTGTCAGGCTTTTCCAAACACTCGTGTCAGGCTATTACAAACACCCGTGTCTCAGGCTATTCTAAACACTTGTGTGTCAGGCTATTCCAAACACCTGTGTGTCAGGGTATTCCAAACACCCATGTCATCCCGTGTCAGGCTATTCCAAACACCTGTGTCTCAGGCTATTCCAAACACCCATGTCATCCTGTGTCAGGCTATTCCAAACACCCATGTCTGGCTATTCCAAACACCTGTGTGTCAGGCTAATCCAAACACTTATGTCAGGCTATTCCAAACACACGTGGCAGGCTATTCCAAACACCCGTGTGTCAGGCTATTCCAAACACCCGTGTCGGGCTATTCCAAACACCCGTGTCTCAGGCTATTCCAAACACCCATGTCATCCCTTGTCAGGCTATTCCAAACACCCGTGTCTCAGGCTATTCCAAACACCCATGTCATCCTGTGTCAGGCTATTCCAAACGCCCATGTCAGGCTATTCCAAACACCTGTATGTCAGGCTATTCCAAACACTTATGTCCGGCTATTCCAAACACCTGTGAATCAGGCTAATCCAAACACCTGTGTCAGGCTATTCCAAACACCCGTGTCAGGCTATTCCAAACACCCGTGTCAGGCTATTCAAAACACCCGTGTCAGGCTAATCCAAACACCCATGTCAGGCTATTCAAAACACCCGTGTCAGGCTATTCCAAACACCCATGTCAGGCTAATCCAAACACCCGTGTCAGGCTAATCCAAACACCTGTGTCAGGCTAATCCAAACACCTGTGAGTCAGGCTAATCCAAACACCCGTGTCAGGCTAATCCAAACACCTGTGAATCAGGCTAATCCAAACACCCGTGTCAGGCTAATCCAAACACTCGTGTCAGGCTAATCCAAACACCTGTGAGTCAGGCTAATCCAAACACCTGTGTCAGGCTAATCCAAACACCTGT